TTTTGCTTTTGATCTGCGTTAACTAATTAAACTGGTAAAGTTTCTTGAATTTTACAACATCACCCGGACAGACTTTATCAAAAATTGGATATACACATATCGAGCACAAAATATTTCTTTCTGAAAGCACACATATCCAAATAGATTAATTAACATATTTTAGCACGGGGCAGTACACATTTTAGTTTTGTAATATCATATTTTACTTACGTGGAATTTAGAGGTAATTTCAAGGAAGCCATTTTAACAGACCGTTGATTTCATCCGTGAATGCCATTTGAATCTTGTCATGAGTTCAAAATTACAGATTTATAATATGTATTTATGTAGCAAAAAACACTCAGAATACTTTTTCATTTTAATTTCACTTTGTGGCGAGGCAAGTTATTAAACTCAAAAGTGTAACAGTTTTGTTAAAAAATTTAAATTTGGTATTAGTAATATACAACAAATATTAAATAAACTTTTTAGTACAAAGGAAGTTAGGCCAGGAGGGCTATTAAATTCGTTTTGGCATTTTGGCATCACTATAAACGGCAAATCACTTTTCATATTGTTGCCACCAAATATTATCGCCCTGTGTTATATTAAAGAAATTAAATAATGAAGAATCAACATAAATATATGTATATTTCTCGCATTGTGATAAAACAAAAGTACTTAGAGCCATTCAATTTTGAATAATATAATCCTCCACCGAATATGGGCAGCTGGAAATTTGGAAATTTATAATTTGTTTTATTATTGATTTCATATTTTGTAACACTTTAATGAATTTTTGATTAACAAACTCAACATTTTCAATGCGAGAAATGGCAACACTGTACGGAAAAAATATATCTGCAGCGCGCGAGACTGTGTAGCAGAAATTGTAAAGATATGCTCATTTAAAATTTTTTTTGCGATATTGTTGTTGATTTGAATTTTATGGTTTAAGTGCGAAGAACATGATATTTAAAAAAAAAGGTAACACACAAAACGTTTAAAAAAAAAAAACGCTTTTTTAGGCCTAATGTTAAATCTGAAAGCTTCCAGTTTTTTTTTTTTTTTTCATTTTTAGTCCTTAATCTAATGAGAAAAATATTTAATTAACAGTATTGTGTTGTAATAGTTAGAGACATTTTTATAATAGTTGGAGGCACATAATTTGGAGACCTTTTTTTACATTTTAAATGACTTTATATCAGTTAATTATATTTCAAATTTTTATACAGCGTGTTCCATACATTCGTCTTTTTTAAACATCTATTCTTATCATTTTCACCTAATTTAGATTATTGCTTACTTCTAATTTTTCTTATATATTCTATAAAGATCCAGAGACATAATTTTAAACTCGTAAAATTTCAAAATGTTTTAATTAAATGACAATAAAAATAATTAGAAGAAAACTGATGAAAATGGGATATTAGCTAAAATGCTGTTAAATTTATTTATAAAGGTTTGTTCAAGAACGGGGTTTATATTTATACTCGAAAAAAATGGGGTAAAAGAATGAAATTTATACGAAAAATGCAAAAGAAAATTCTTAAAAATATAAGCACAAAATAGAGAAAAAAATTAAATTAAAAAAATAATCTGAAACCATTCAGACTCTATATTACACCCAAAACGGCGTTTTTTTTTAATGTATTGTGTGTTACCTTTATTTATTAAATACAATTTTCTTCATACTTTAACAATATAAAATCCAATTCAACAACAGCATCACAAAGTATTTAAAACAGCAAAACATCAAATCTGTAGAATTTCCGATATACAGTCTCACGCGCTGGAGTTAAAAAATGCTTTTTCCGTACATTAAGAATTTGGAGTAGACAATAAAACAAATTTCAAATTCGGAATAAAACAGCTAATCGTTAGAATTTCCGATATATAGTCTCGTGCGCTGGAGATAAAAAAGCTTTTTCCGTACATTTTGCCATTACTCGTTTTGAAATGGTTGAGTTCGTTAATCAAAAATTCATAAAAGTTTTACAGAGTTTGGAGTAGATTAATAAAGCAAATTCATAATTCGGGCTTCCAAAAGCACATGTTCGGTTGGGGGACTACGTTATTTAAAATTTGATGACTCTATAGGTACCGTTGCTCTTTCACAGTGCGAGAAACCTTCATGCATTCATGCAGATTATCTAGTTTCTTTAAATGTAATACATGGTGATAATATTTGGCGGAAACTGTTTGAAAAGTGAATCAACGCAGAAAGTGAAACTAAAAATCAGATAACTTCTATGCATTTTAGAGATGTCAATGAGACGAACGTTGCTAAATAATGGATTGAAAGCTTGCAGGCCTAGATAAAAGGTCAAAATTAATTTTGATTGAAAGCTGGTACATATAGGGTGAAAGCTTAAAGTATATAATATTTCAGAATGGATTAAATATGGAAAACATCCATTGGGATTTTACTACCCAGTGAACGAATATTATTTAGTTCTGCTTCATAGTTTTAGTTTCATTATTTTTTTTCTAATATCCTGAAAACCTTTTTAAATATAGGATTATGATTTATTATTTTTAGACGGTTTAAGAGATGAAGTGATCTTCTGAGTTGATAAAAAAACATTGCATAATATTTGTATGCAACGAGAAGATGAGTTTAAGGTAAATTTTATTCAACAGACTATTGTGCATTCGCCTTCAGTTATAGTCTGAAGTGCGGTAAATATAACATTTTTGGGGTATATATTGTAAAAGGAAATTTGACTCTAGTAAATTATATAAATGCTTTAAAAACAACACGAGCTTTAGACTATAATACAAGGCTGGGACTCAATGGGTAGAAGCTTCTGCATGACGGTGCACTTTCATACAGAGTAAAGATGCTTCTAATGTTTCAACTGAAAATGATGAGAAATTATGTCTTGTCCAGGAAATAATCCAGATATAATTTAAATCGAAAATATGTAGTTATTTGTAAGAGAAAACGGAAACGAAAGCACGTAACCAGCGCATACTAAATTCATCAATAATTTTACTTAAATACAACAAAATGTTTCTAATGCTTCTAATTCTAAAAGTGATGTAAAAGTACATTCATTTCAAGGAAATAATCGAAATATGAATCCAGCTAAAAAATACATAGCCATTTGTAAGAGAAAACTGAAGCCAAAGAGTAGTGTGACCCCCTCCCGAAAAAAAGAAATGATTAAAAAAATTCTTGATTAAATTGAAACGTAAATGTATGAACTTACTCAGAAAAGCAAATGATTTCCTAATAAATTATAAATCATTATAAATGTGTTAAAATATTTGTGTTTAATAAGCTAAATCTGATAATTCCGAAAATTAAAAAAAAGTCATAATTTATTCATTCATTCAAAAAAAAATTACTCAAAAAAAGGTAAAATAAAAATATACATTGGTATAATATTAATGAGAAACACATACGTTAAATGTTTCTCAATAGAAAAATACTCAGTCATTCTATGGACAATGGCTGCCTGTCATTGTTGCTAACACATAACGAGAGAGAATTAGCTTAGTTTTCTATCGAAATTTTTATGTGGGTTCATATCGCATCAGACTGAAAAATATATGACTATGAATCGTATTTTTTGCTCAAAATAATGATGTATTTTTTTTATTTCTGCTGATCCAAATGGCAATGTGATATGGGTATATATACCATATGATTCTATGATTACGTAGTCAGTTGTGGTACATGAATTGAATTTTTTATTTTTATTACATGTATTGAATTATTAGTATTGTTTTTGTATTTTTTATGCATTGCAATGACGCAAAGTATTTTTATATCATGTAATATGGTATTATACGAATTTTGAAATGATGCCATGAGTGACACTGCGCAAAAGGAGGTGTATTCACACCACGAATTCCCATAGTTCCTTATGATCTGCTGTTTGAATTCAAGTGTCTTCAGTTTCAGTTTCAGTTTCGAGTGCGTCTTGCTTTTAAAATTTCTATCAATAAAGCTCAAGGCCAATCGCTGGTATTCTTATGGGAACTCTTTACGTTTCCCATGGTCAGTTGTATATAGCATGTTCAAGAGAAAGAAATGAAATTTGTGCATTTTCGCTCCTGTTGGTAAAACTCAAAATACCGTATATCGCGCAGCTTTGCAATAAAAATTGTCTTTAAGTGAATTGCCTTATTGTAATAAAAATACCTCATAAAAGAAGAAAATACCCTCATCCGATTTTGTTACAACAAATATTAATAATTAGAGAAGCATTACAGCGGTATCCTTCTCTCTGTTTTTAAATATGTGGTATCCGTAAGTGCAACACAATCACCAGAGGGCCTCACCTATGTGCGAGCAGCGAGAGCGAGGTGAAAGAGGAGTATGATATAGATAGAGAGTCTTCTAGCCCACGAGAAGGTGTAAGAGGTAGGTCTGCATGTGAAGGTGTATATAGAACTGTATGTTTCCACGAGAAGGTGGTAAATTGAACTGCATAATACGACAGCAAGTGCGAGTAGGCACTAAGCTACTATGTTATAAAATTGAAAAAAGCTATCCAGAATCCTGTTTGTATCAAACGGCACTGTGACTCGATTTAATGCACCTTCTTCTGTTGATTTTATTAAATGTTCTGTGGTGTGGGAAACGTTGGACTTGTTAATTGACCCTAGCAAAGCATCTTCAACTCCCCTACCAAAAATATATTACTCTCAATCTAACTGAACTGGCATAGAGTACTTCCCCTAGTGTTAATATATTGTATCGCATTTTCTATTCCGTAATATGAAAATGTATTTCTTAAAGACACAAGCGCATGACTTCAATCCAGATAACATTCAGAAATGTAATGTGTTTTCTTGTTAGAATTTAAGAACACGACATTTGTGTTAAGTATAAGCTACTTTTCTGCATGAGTTAAGTAATACGTTAATTAGCAGTTGATATGCTTTCAGCGGTAGGATTGGTAAAACCAGTTGAAAGTTTGACATCTTAATCAGAGTTTAATTTACAGAAGAACAAGCTTGATTTACTAAAATTACTTAAAAGTTTGTGTATGAGAAGTTTCACTCACCTATTGTGGACGTTTTAATAGTGACTTCCTCAGACTGAGGACTAGCACCTTGACTATTGAATGCTTGTACAACGATACTATACTGAGTACCGCGTTTCAATCCCACTAGAGTGTAATTGGCCTCTGTTTGTCCTGGTTTTATATTGACTGTCTTGTATACATAGGGACCTCCACCAGGAAGCTCTCGGTAACCCACGTAATAGCCATCTACGTAACTCGCTTGCTCCATGAACGATGGTTGCTGCTAAAATTGAAAAAGATATGAAATGATTATTTAAATAATCTACTAATTAAATATTATACTGCATTTTATTACATTCACTTACGCACGTTGATTATTAATAACTGCTAAAATGGAATTTTAGATTGCACTGGGAACTAGACTGAAAGTAGAATTTTTATTTGAATTTTAAAATGTAATGACAATGTTGTCCTAGATGGAAAAAAGTTTAATTTTTTAGAAAATGACACCATTTATTAATAAATCAAGATGCGACTTCACAAAAAAAATCTTTAAAATCTAAAAATGTTATTTTAGCTCATCATTTGTTGCTTAACTGATTTTAGCATGTAAAAGCATAACTAAAAGTAAATCAACAAATAACTTTATGATTAATTAAATAATATACTAATCATATTGCATTTTATTACATTCATTTACGATTAAGGATGCTGCATTAATTAAAATTTACACTTTAAATTAAAAATTTAATGGCACATTTATCTTAGAAGGAAAATGTTTAATTTTTCACTTAACTGAAAATGGTGTTATTTATTAATAAATCAAGATGAGGCTTCACAAACAAACAATCTTAAAATTCCAGAAATATTATTTTAACTCATAGTTTGTTGCTTAGCTGATTTTAGCATGCAAAAGTATGGTTAAAACATCAAATAAATTTATGATTATTTAAAGAATCTACTGATTATATTACTTTTTATTACATTCACTTACTAGCACTATTAAAAATGTTGCATTACTTGGAATTGGGACTTTCATTTTAAAATTTAATGGTGTTTTTACCCTAGGCGGAAAATATTTAACTTTTCATTTAGTATACAATGGTATCATTAATTAATAATCAATATGAGACTTTACAAAAAAACAATCTTTAAATTCTAGAAATATTATTTTAATTCACCGTTTGTTGATTAACTGATTTTAGCATGTAAACGTATTGTTAAAAATATATCAACAAATAAGTTTATGATTATTTACATAATATACTATTTTAGATTCACATTGCATTTTATTACATTCATTTACGATGATTATTAAGAATGTTGGATGAACTGGAAGTTAAACATGCATTTTAAAATTTAATGTCACTTTTATCCTACCAGGAAAATGCCTAATTTTTCATTTGATGGAAAGTTGTAGCATTTATTAATAAATCAAGATGAGACTTTACAAAGAAAAACAATCTTTAAATTCTAGAAATGTTATTGCAGCTCATCGTTTGTTGCTCAGAGGATTTTATTATGTAAAGAGTATAGCTACAAATAAATCAACAAATAAGTTTATGATTATTTAAATAATCTATTAATTTAAAAATATATTGCAGTTTATTACATTCATTTAAGACTACTATTAATAATGTTGTATTAATTGGGATTTAGATTTCCATTCTAAAATTTTATGGCACTTTTATCCTAGGAAGAAAATTGTATCATTTAATGATAAATCAGGATGAGACTTTACAAAATGCAGTCTTTAAATTCTAGAAATGTTATTTTAGCCCATCATTTGTAACTTAACTACTTTTAGCATGTAAAACGTATATACAAAAATAAATCAACAAATAATTTTCTTAGAAATTGCACAAATTGCTAACAATAACCCTGCAAATGAATAATACAAATTAAAGAAATAGTGTCAATATTCGCTAGAAAATGCCTGATAAATAACTGAAGACTTTTCAATTAAATTATTTGCGTTCTGGTTTTTAATGTAGATACATATTTTACGTAATCGAAATTGTTAGAACAATTAACACATGAAAAATATTGCTTACACCATAATTAATTATATTATGTTTTCTCATGATATGATAACTTTATGTTTTATGAATGGAGTATGAATCAAAAATTTAAACTAGACTTTTGGGCATTAATCAGTTACTTTGCATTATGAGTTGTCTTAATTAAATAAAGCCTAACTTAAATTAAGCGTTATATATTATAACTACTACGTAACGTTCTATAATTGAGATGATAATGTATAATGCAACTGGGTGATAGATGCTGCCTATTTAAATTCTCAATTAGACATGAATATTACATATTTGCTTCTGAGTATTCGGTTGCCTATTTTAATAAAAACGGGTTTCTATTTTCCACTCTAAGTCAAAATAGTATACTGCCTTAAGAAACTTTCATGTTTCAGAATTATGAAAAAAAAACATTTGAAATCGAATTCAAAGAGATATATTGTGATTCAATTCAAATGAGTTTAAAAATTTTCTTTCCTTTACATAGTAAAGGGTGTCTCAAAAAGAACGCCGGATTTGAAAAGCCCGTTTTTTTATTTGTTGGTGTTGGCAACATTTTTTTGCATGTTTTGTTACCACAGATTATTGAGGTTATGTTTTGAAACTGTGTTTTTGTTTTCCAGGTTAAAGCTTGTGGTGCATAGTCATGGAAAGATACAGTACGAAACAGCCAGGGTTGATTGTGAAAACTCACTACAAAAATGGTGAAAGTTTCGCGGAAACCATTCGGAAACTCCCTACGAGACACAGCAATGCAACAAATGAAACCACTGTTCGTAAGTTGATCAAGAAATTTGGAAAAAAAAAAAAAAAAAAAAAAAAAAACGGTTCAACAGTAGACATCAAAAGCCCGGGGCGCCCTTGAAGTGGCCGGAGTGAGGCAAATGTTGCATATGGTGATCAGAGATTCCAAGAGTAATTCACGAAAAAGACATACATCATCAGCGAGTTAATGTTTGGTGTGCAATTTGGAGTGGGAGTTTAATCAGTTCTTATTTTTTTGAAAGCGACCAAGGAAGGTCTGTCACGTTGAAGAGTTCGTTATCGTGCGATGCTCACTAATTTTCTTTGGCCCCGGTTGGATTAAATCAGCATAAAAAATTTCTAGTTCCAACAAGACGGTGCAACTTGCCACAATTCAGGAGACACAATCGCTCTGCTGCGTGAGAAGTTCCCAAACAGACTAATCTCGTTACGTGCAGACCAAGCCTATCCACCTCGATCTTGTGACCTGACACCATGTGACGTTTACTTATGAGGGTACACTTGTAAAGTCATTAGGTATTTTTTTGGAGCCAGGAAAGATGAAAAATGGCAACCACCTTCGCCAGGAATCGAACCACGGACCTATGGAATACCGGCCCAGCATGCAGAACCACTACACCACGTAGGACGCTAGGAAAGCGGGAGAAATACCTTGTACACTAAGTCACGAGTTTACAAAAGCAAACTCTGTAATTTGTTGGAACTCAAACAAGAAATTCAACTGGTTCTCAACAAAGTTGATGGAGAAATGTGAGAGCGAGTGATGGTTAGTTTCATGGACAGAACGATTGCTTATAGGGCTAGCGGGGGGGGGTCATATACCCGATATTGTACTTCACGTATAATCTCAACATCTCCTGAAGAGAATGGTGTGTTTTGTTTGCTTCTTTCAAATAAATAAATTCGATTTATAGTAGATTCAAATCCTTTATAGTAGATTCTTTTTGAGACACCCTATATATGAAATGTATAGAAAATGATCTGGTAATGCATCATAATTTATATCTGGTACATAGGTAATTAAAAGGAAGTAAATAAAATAAATAGATAAAATGTGTGCATAAGGTTTAAATTTGAGTGTCTCAAAGTAAGAAAGTGCTTTTACAAATTTGAAAAGTAGATTAAATTCTTGTGCATTAAGAATGAGTATAGTCTCGCAATTGGCATTTTGTCAGATAAAATAAAGATTTATGACAATACTGTGGTAAACAACTGTGAGAACTGGTATTCTGCCAAAGAATTGTGAGAAATGTAGTTCTGCCATGGTTAAAAATTGCTGTAGAAACCTAACTAAACGAAGTGTAGTGTGTGTGTGAAAAATGGAATCACACAACCATAAACATTTCTAACATCAAAACATAACGTATCTAATACTACCATCATATTCTAAAAATTAAATAATTTAGGCTTACCCGTGCTTTCTTGCCTTCTTTTTATTTCGTACGTCTGATACCTCGAAAACCGAACCAAAAAATGGACTTAAAAGTATTATATAAAATTTTAATCTATGGAGGAATGGAAAATTTTATGATCTTAACCGTTCATTGATAAGATTAGGAAATACTCCTGCCTTAAGATAAATTAAACTGAGTATGATATAACACAGATTTCATTTGGAAAATACTGGTTAGCTTTAAGTTTCCTGATTCTACGTACGTGAGGTTATCATTCATTTGTATATGTGTTGATAATTTTCCTTTATATTCAAGATACTTATAATTATATGCTTCAGCATGTAATATGATCTAGTTCACGAAATTTCTGAAACTTAAAAATTCCTTTTGTGTGAGTAACTTGCATTTCATTTTGATATTTATGACTAACTTTACCTGTTTCCATTTGTAAGCTGTAGTAATTAGTGTTGTGATTTTGTAAACTTCTTTCTCTTTTTACACCTTTTTGGGATTTTTCTGCTTCAGTGCCAGCATTTCACATTTTTTACAGTAGACTCACATATTGAAAATGCCATTACACTTTTTCTTCCATACCTCTAGCAGTTCGGAGAGAAAGTGAAGTATTTTAAATACATTTATAAAGTATTTTCTCCTTCGTTCCAACATGCCATCGTGGTGAAATGGTAGCACACTCGTCGCGTATTCGAGAGGTCCAGGTTCAAGTCCTGTTATTTTTTATGTTTCCTGCTTTAAAAAAAAAAAAAAAAAAAAAAAAAATGACTCTACAGTCGCGCCAGAACTTAAAGGTGGTGGATGATAATTCTTCACCACCAAGATTTGGCGATTGGCTCCCCTAATTCCCAATTGCACTTTAAAAGGTGGAGTAGTTAGGTCTTTTTTCTCTCTCCTTTCTGCATGCTTTCGTGGTGTAACGGTAGCGCACTCGGTATGCATTCGAGAGGTCCAGGTTCGAGTCCCGGCGAGGACATTGCTCCTTTTTCACGTCTCCAGCATAAAAGAAATCTAATGACAAAAATTAAATATATAAAAAAATATTTACTGTAATATAAAGGAAAACATTGGGGCTCAACTTC